TACTTTTACATGGATGCAGAGGGTGCAACATTTTGATAATGCATATCAGTATCCTCTTTTTGTAGCAGCACCATATGAGATCATAACTTTCGAGGTAATAGATTGTGTTACCTGACAATCTATTATTTTCATTGAGTTTCATGAAATATTCATATTTCCTTTTCAGATCTCTAGCACTGAGATTGACAAATCCACTCCCAAATTCTTCTCAGATTGGGATCCTGACTTCAAAATGTTCATGGTTAGTCTCTTCGATCCCTATTTTTACTGGTTGCCACTTTTCTTCTTTTCTTCATTTTTAACTTCTTCCTTCTTACCCCACTTTTCAACCAAACATGCCTTGTTTCCTGGTAGAATCCCACCTAGAACCCATTTATCATATGTATTTGACTTTGATATGAATCATTTGCACTGGGTTGGTCTAAACTCTTAAGAGCATTGAAAATTTCTGGGAATTTGTTGTTGATGATATCTGACTACTGTTTGGTATTCATCAGCTTGCACCTACAGGTTTGTTTCAAAAGTCGAAGCCACCAAGGGCAAACAAACATCTGCCTGTCCCTGCAGCTACTGGAAAGGCAGTTTCAGCTGCTCCTCTAAGATCTCTGCTCCCACCAAGCTCCACCACCTCCACCTTCATGACAACAATCGCCAAATCCTCCCTGAGCCACACCACCTCAAGTTTCTAGCTCACTACTGCTGCTACTTTCTATGACATGGCCCTAGGCCTACACTGCCGGGTGGAACCACACTGCCACCGCCCTTACCTTATAAAGGCAACGGAACAATGTCAAATTTCAGTTCTAAGTCTCCAACAATTCTACCTAAAGATTTTCCAGGTGAACAGAGATGCCATCTTCTCCACCTCCTATCACAGCGGGGTAAAAGGTGTCTAGACATTTATCCATTGCTAGGCACACATCAATAACGTATCATATAAAGTGACAACTCCAGGTGCAATGCATGATGAATGATATGGTTCAGAAATGTAATCAAATTGTACAATGGATTTGTGAATTGATTCAAGTAGCTTTTTCTCCCTTACAGGATATAATATGTTAGTTTGTTTCATCTCTGTTTTTCTCATGAAGCATCATTATTGTGTTGAAACCTTTCCTCTACTAATGCCACAGTCGAAATTTTAATTTGTTGCAAGGCATGCTAAGATGCATAATGTGCTTGGTAATGACTAATGACAGGTAGTTACCCACATGATTTATGCTGTAATAGAAAAGAAAATTGGAACCTACAATCATCAGTGTGAAAGAATACTCATCAAGAATACGATACTCATTAAAAGTTACTAACTTTTTATTTAGAACTGAAGAATTCAGGCGTAAATTTGAAACAAAATTAGAAAAATGAACTCTAAACGTTCATCTTCTCCATGTAATGTAAAACACAGGTTTCGTGCAAAGAATATTACTGACAGTTGGGAAATACAGCAAACCCTCCTATATGCTGTGGAAGCAAGTCTCTCTGCATTCTGCAATAAGACGCAAAAAAATATTGCATTTTGTCTATTTCCTATTTAAAAAATTTTGCCAATCACTAAAATTTTGAAACAATCTAATATTTTACATTGAGCATGACTAAATTTTATTGTAAACACACAAGTTACAAGTTTACAATTATGTGCTTACTCTTTTAAATACTTTTTAATTGTTTCATTGTATTAACTTTATGTTTATTAAGATTCCATTTAATATAGTTGTGGTTTAAAATTTTTTATTTTAGTTTTTAAAAGTTTAAAAACTCAAGAATAAAAATAAAAATTTGTATAAATTAATTAAATTTAGAGTTTTAGGTATTTATTTTAAAATTTTATACTCATTAAATTGAAATTTTTAATTTTTAATTTTGGTTGTTAATTTTTCATTTTAATTGTTTGAGTTTTAAAAACTAAAA